GACCTGGATGAGTGACCTGGATAAGGAGAGGAGAGAAAAGAATGATGAGAGGTTTGGGTTCCGAAATATGCCAAAAACATGAGCCTTGGGTGCCCAGAAGTGGACGGACCTCTCCGACTGGCGGACTCGTTTCCGGAGAATCCATCGGTCTTCGCACCACACCGTCGGACCGCTACACCGCCGTCTTCTCGTCTTCTCCTCTTCTCCCTCAACTCCGACCGCGTCGCTGGGCACCTTCGTGTTGCGCGGCAGTGAGGATCGCTTCTTGAACTCCTGGCCGCGGCAGTGCCAGGTCTACCGATCAGGTTGACCTGGGGTCCATGCACGGCAATATTATATATATACAGGCAATATATCATACACACATGTAACATTATAAACTATATATGTATATTTGTTTTAACTATAGATTTCTATCCCAGTCCCATGGAGGGTCTGGGAATGACTCTTCCGTTTGGGGTGGAGAAAGGTGTATCCACATCAAACACTTGGACCCTTGTTGAATGGGCAGAGAGGGGACCTAGGACCACTTGGTCGACATCCTGTTGGCAGGCGCGGACGAGTCAAAAAAGACACGAATGACTACTAAGCGTACCAACCATTTGGTATTTGCCAAACCAAGGCACAAAAAGGGAAGAGTGTATAGGTTTGGTATATGGTTACCACTTGAGCGTGTTGGTCTACACCTTAGACTTAGACATTTGCACTGTTTCACCTTGTTTTGGAGAGGATGGCAGGGGGGTGACCATCCGCATCCGCAGCTGCACCTTTCCCAAGGAGGCTGGGCGCATTGCACCTGACAAGTTGGCAGGATCAGAGAACCACTTTCGTCTTATGTGCCCAAAAAAGACTCTCTTTCGTCTTATGATTCTTCCCAACACCTGGAAAAACAGACCACTTCTTCATCAACAAAGGTCATCAAAAAGTCGACGTTCCGAAGCTCAATCGTTCGAGAACCGGGTGCCCGGGGCCAAACGAGAAGCCTGCAGGAGGCTAAGCTTGACAAAAGACGGCAGCACTTGGCGCTGGTGCTGCGGCAGCGAGTGCTGCTGTCTGCGGCCAGCTCCTTGGATCCGATTGCGGCGAACAAGACCATTCTGGGTGTGCTATGCCTAGAATCTTTGCTGACAACTGTCTGAAGAGTCTTGTTGTCTGCATACTTTTCACACAAAAGCACTTAGCTCCGTCGGATCGACTGGGTGCGATCCCACGGATCCTCATCTCTCAATCCTCATCGTCCCTCAATCTCGCAGCCCTAATCTGGAGTTTCCAATCCTTCTGAAGAGGAATGTTGAACATGTTTACTTACCAGTTTACCATCTCAACAACCATGTTGAACCGGAGGCAAAAGTCCAAGAAACGATGAAAATAACTCCCACATCAACTCCGTGTGGTCTAACCCCCCAGACGCCTTCATGATCTCCGCAAAGAGAGACCCACAGTTTTCTCCTCCCGTCACAAGTAGAGAATCATCCATGAGTTTGTCGGAATCCGTGAATTCGTGCTACAAGAAAACGACTTTGGGCGATTTGTGCATAGAGGGGTGCTCAGTGGACAATGAACTTAAAGGCAGCCCCAACATGTCCCAACAACCTTTTTGAAGAAGGCTCCCGACCACAACTGTTGCTGGCTTGTCTGAATTGCAGCGGTCGACACAATCTCTGGCTTCTTGAAATGACATCTGCTCTATAGGTCCTCTATGGGTGACCAAGGTTTCCAACAAAGGGGTCTATGATGGTCTTTGAGTAAGTGGCTCGGCCCCTGATCGATTTGGCATGCTTCGAATCTCAAGGGCGGCCATGTAGGAATTGAGACATCCGTGTTGTCCCATCATTCCTCCTTTGATGCGCCAGCGCCCCAGCTCTCTTTCTGAATATGAGACATATTTGTGAGAAATTCCAAGCATCAAGGGCAGTGAATGAGCGAAAACATCCACACACTGGTCAGGTCATTGACCGCCCAGGTTGAGTCCAACACATCGTCGCCCCAAGTCATGACAGTCCTGCGAGTTGGCTGGCGACACCTGCGAACTCATGCGAACTCGGCAGCGAAGAAGTGCCGAAACGAGCCCAGCTCTCAGTGTGGCTTGGTGAGTGGATCGTGGATCTGCTTCGAAACGAGCGACCGGAGAAAGAAGTGGCCCAAAAGGAATGTGGGTCGGCAATGATCCCAATCGTTTGCAGTCGCAGATGGATGAATCTCTTGACTTGAAGATGACTGTAGGCATATTCATCATCTTGGCACCCCAAGACTGACCATATCTCATCATGAGTCTATTTCTGTTGGGAAATGTTTGGAAATGATTCCGCCTTCCATCGATCCTTAATTCTTGTTGGAACCGGTCCCAAGCGCTTGGAACGGGCGACTGGGGAGCTCAGTGGCCATCTTCTCCAGGACCGTCACCGTCGCATGCACCACTTCCTGGCGCCAGAAACCAGAGAGAAGGCAGAGATGGCCGGTTCGAGGAGGTGGGTGCAGGAACCCTGCACCCACCTCACATGGCGTTTTTGGTCCATCTCAGTCTCTCCTCGTTTTGGCGTTGCCAGGCGAAGAGCAAATGCTGCACCAGCAACTTCAAGAGCTCCGACACCTCAGGCGCCTCTTCGCCATGTTGGTCCACCCAGCTGCGTTGATCGGCGATCATCCAAACCTCAGAGGACGCGTCAGGATGAGGCACGAAAACGAGGAGGCGGGTTCTCATCATGGAGCCCACCTGAAAGGGGGCTCAGGTTGCAACTCATTCGGTCACAGGTCGAGGCTCATGGGAGACCCGTGTGTCATCGCGTCCGAGCCACAAGGCTTGCCACGTTCGAGGAGCCCGCAGGATCCTGCAGGTAGGTCGAACCAAAGACGGAACCTCCTGACCAAGACAACATGGTCATAATTTACCAGCACCCAACTCTACAGGTCTCCGAAATGGAGGGTTGTTAGGCTCTAACAGGTTTCAATTGGTGACCTGTTGGAGGTCCTGGTACATTGATGCAATATATACCAGGAAGATTTAGAACATCCAGTATGGAATGGTTTCACTCACTTGCTTCGACTTCCAAGTGGTTTTCGCACGACTGGACCATTCACCTGGGGCTGTTTCCATCGCGAGCCGCACGAGCTGAGAACCGCAGGTGTCGCCCGTGCCCGCACGACTTCGTTCCTCCACGTGTGGCATAGGGGAAACCCCGACTTGCAACGTTTCCACAGCCATGCGCTTGTGCGTCTGTTTCGATGTGGCTCCTTTCAGAGAGTCAACACCCCCAAAAACCCCGAGTGCCGTGCCGGGCGGGGAGAGACAAGAAGGTGCTTTTCTCCCGAGCTTCGGACACATCCGGAAATGGATCTTCCGGTCTAGCTGCTATGTCAGGAACTGGAAGAGGGGGTTGAAATTGGAGGGTTAACAATGAGTACTCTTGCTCAAACAACTCAAAGAAACTCATCATGCCGTGAACCGGACCTCCATTGCCATGGACCTGTAGAAAGTGCGACAGATGTTGTTAAAAAAAAACAACAACATTGATTATTCTCCTTCTACCAGATCCTACCGGGTCTCTTCCGCAAAACCACATGGTGTTCTTATCTGTTTGTTAACCACAAAAGACCCATGCAGCTATAAGGGCCATCCTTCAGGAGCTCCAGGATCGAAGATAAGCCGCCCATGTAGTGCACCAGCCAGGCGAAGGAATCCAAGTCCTCCCAAACGAAACGACCCAGGAGACACGACCCCCACACACGTCGGGGTCGTGACAAGTGGAGTCAGAATGTTCCATGATGTGCTTCACCTATTGTCATTGGGCGGCAGGACATGAACTGTTCATGTGAGCGATTTAGCGAAGTGGATTCATCCCGTCGTCTTAGCCAAAAATGCTTACCATCCTCTCATGCAAATCGAGAAAGCCAGGCAATCATGAATCATGGTGAAGAATAGCTTTGACTAGATTGGGTGCATCGGGACAGCGGGGCCATGAGAACTTATGAGACATTCCACCTTTCAGTACCTTGAACCACTGGCAGTGATCTTCACAGAGACTTGACATGCTTACTGCTTGCTGCAAGCAGCAAAAACTGGCTGAGGAAGATATGTTTTGAAGGTGAACCATCACGGTTGGTCTTGGCAGATTCTTGTACAAATGTCTGAGAAAAAAGAGCATCCGGCATGAAGGTCTTTCCTCGATGCCTGACATTAGAACAGAATAAACGAGACTACACTCTCTGAAATAATAATGGAAGTGGATGGCATAGGCCCCTGGAAGGCCGTGTTCCTCTACAAGCAGGTGGACTTCCACTTCCATGTTAATGAATCGGAGAGTATGTCTCCAAACCACACTGGTATGACATGCTTCTCTGAAAAGTTGCTTTCCTCTGTAAAACTTTAAAGAGCTTTTCCTTCCCCTCCTTCCCAACGGGTCAAGCCCTATAAGTCAAAGAGCTCATTTTACTGGAGTTGATCATACACCAACAATCACAACTGCTACTCTCTACTCAATGAGGTACTATACCCATACGAGTGCAAGCCGGCCGTTCTTTTGGTGCCCTATCCCCAAAAAGCAGCTCTCTCCATCGCTCTCCTCTCCCTGGCTGGCGCTGCGCAAGCATCCCTGGACCCTCTGCAGGCCACCCACTTCCAAGGCCCACCGGGTAGCAGAAGCCACCTTTTGCATGAGCCTCGGTGCCACCGTGAGCCGAGCCGGGTGGGCCGCCAAGCACCCATGTGAACCCCCTTGCCGTGCCGCGCGAGGCGAAGTGTGGGCCTGGACCTGGCACTGCACGCTTCTATAGTTGAAGCAGTTGAAACGAAGCAAGGTGGAGCTGACCCAAGCCTGCCACTCGACCCTGCAACGAAGGATGAAGATTGGATTGAAGGTCTCCAGATCAACTTCCAAGTGGCAGGAAAACAAACAACAACGCTCTCAGCACATGGTCTCTTCCCCACTTGGAACACTGAAACACCCTACGTGCGCACCATTTTCCTACGCACCATGTTCCAGGCGATCAACCTGAATTTGCGATCAATCTAAACTCTTACAATGCCTCTCCTCTCCTCTCCTCTCGGGCCCCAGCTGAGACAAAGCCCAAGCCTTGGTCACCGCGTCCGACTTCGTCCCCCAGCACGGCGCCCGGGCAGGGCTGCCGAGTGTTCGAACTTTCGGTGGCGAATACAGCATTACTGTATAGCCGTTCACATTTCCCAGAAGGGGGAGTTGACATGCAGGCCTTGGCAATAGCATGTTTGGGACATGTGATCAGCTATATTACTGCACATGTAGATATTTCCAGATGTCATGAGATGTCGAGACTTCTCATCGAAAGTCATGCTAGTTTCGAAGTATATCGACATCTAAGTCATCTGGTGCCCATGGCATTCCAAGTCTTCTGTCCAGTGACTGCTGGATCCTGCTGGAAACCTACAGTCCGCAGTTCCCACAGTCCTTGCAGAAAGCTATGGAAGGAATGGATGGATGTTCATGAGAAGCATCTATCGAGGTAAGATTCAAAAGGACGCAGACTTCTCAGATCAGGGTGGCCCCGTGGCCATATTGCGTAACTACACTGAGTTTCACAGCCCATTGATGAATATGGGACATGACTCACCCTGGCTACAAAAACAGGTACAAGACTACCCATCTTCGGAAAAAGCCACACTCAGACTGCAGGTGTTGAAGAAGATGGGTTTAGGGGTTCTTCAGCCCAATCTCACTTCTTGGCGGTGCCAGAAGAGTCCAGGTGCTGCATCTTGTGCCAGCTGAGTATTCTCAGGACTGATGGCGTCGACCAGGGACTTCACGCAGGTCTTGGCGTGCCTGACTGAGCGGCAGAGACTGAAGACTCCCACCGGTCGGCGCTCCGCAGGGCGAACCACGGAGCTCCGCAGCGAAACGGGGGAGCACCGCTGGACGGAACGGACCTGTGGTTTGGGATGCTTTCGCAGTAGTCCTGGAATCCTTCGAAGAAGCTTTTAGCGTCCAAACCGCATGGTGGAGGCCATCGCAAGTAGGGAGGCCATCGCTACTATAGTAACAAGAAGCTACTAGTACAAGAGAGTTTTTCGTGTGGTTTGCTCACGGAGACCTATATAACAACTGCCATGGCTTGCCTTCAAGAATGGTTTCTCGTGGCATTGTTTGAGCTTTTCCGAAATCCGAAGATCCGCAGATCCGTCGCAAAGGTTCCGCATACGAGGAAGGCGGTGTTTGATGCCAAGTGACAGTTCACAGGTCTGAAGGCCTTGCAAGGTCATTTCAGCCACAGTGACCTGGAGCTCTTCATGCTGAAAGCTCTCGGCCAGCTTGGCCAACCTGACTCTTGGAATGTCATCATTGCGAAGGCAAAGCCGAAAACACCATGCACAAAAAGAACCGAGACCTTTCGGAACAAAAACAAACTCACTAAACATCCGAGAAGATGCCCCAGTTGAATAGCTGACACAGTTTAGGTCAAACTGAGAACGCGATGGTTGGTCCAACATCTCCTGGCCCCGCCCAATAATATATCTCAACCTCTCCTCTCCCAATCCAAGGTCTCTATATTGTGTAAAATCGGTTCAACAAACAAACAAACAAATCAAACCAACCAACCAACCAACCAACACAACACAACACACAACACAACACCACACCACACCACACCACACAACACAACACAGTTCACTCCCTCCAACTCCCTTCCACTTCGCCGGGCCACTCCTTCATTGCAAAAGCCCCCTGCGCCGTGCCGCCCGACGTGGCAGCCTTGGCGGCCTTGCAAGCCAAGGCCTCCGGGCGTCGCAAAGAAGAGCGACGGCCGCCGTCTGTCGGAGGTCCCAAAGTGGGCTGGGGACCATCCACACCCAGACAGGATGCTCCTGCTAGACATCAATGACCAACCATCTTGATGGATCTAGTGAACAAAATCAAGAGACTGACCTGTTCTTCCATAATTCCTTCATGTCGCCTCAACGTGTAGCTGTGTTTGACAGCCTGCCTCTTCGCTTCAGAAGCATCAAAAGACCAACCCACCGGACCGATCGGTACGCCCACAGCTTGGTAGACGCTACTTGCTCACCAGAATCTATCTGGTACAGCTATTCCGTTGACGACAGACTTCGATCAATGAACGAAGACCGTGCGCCAAGAAGAGAGAAGTCTCCCGTGCCTTGGCATGGGTGTGCGGAGACACCATGTTCCGAACTCAAACGCCCGGAAAGTAAGCCCGGAATTGGTGGTGTGGTGTGGCGGTTGCCGGACGGTAAGGACTCATGACATGTTTATATATGTAGCACTTGCAGTCGGACTGAGCGTTCCATTGGAGCTTGACCTGGCCAGTGTGGACTCTCAAGTGAAGCGTGTGCTCCTCTGCGCCAGTGTGGTTCGAAGCTTTGGCTGTGTGGTTCAAAGCACTTCCAAACTCCGCCCTGAAACCCAAACGGCCGAGGGAATCGGAATCGGTCGATGTCAGCATGAGAAAAGACCAGCATCAACTGTGGCAAAATCAGGACTTTGTTGTCACAATGTTGATGATTGTGGCGATAGTCCTGGGGCAGGCCCTGTCAACAACAGGCCCAGGTCCATGATTTAGACACATAAAACCCATGAAGAGTGGGATGTGCGACCAAAATATGGCCAGTTGATCTTCACGGATTAGAGGATTACCTGGCGCCTGCATTGCTACAGTTTGCAGGCAATAGTTGTGGGCTTAGGCGCCCCGGCACGCAAAACGTAAAACGTCAGGTTCCGCACGTGTAATCCAAAACGTACAGCCCCCTCCCAAAATCCAGGCCCATCCAAATACGTACCTATATATGCATTTACTGTCCTCGGCTAAATGCATCTGTGCGTTCTGGAGGTGCACTTTGCGGAAACACGTGGGTCTTTCAATAAAGGAACTATGGGGTGCTGCTGGATGCTTTTCTCGCTCATGGACATGCATTTGGGAATTGTTTGTGTTCAACCTATGGGGTGCTACTGGATGCTTTTTTCTGGCCCTTGAAAAGGCATTTGGAACTTTTCTGTGTCCAAACTATGGGGTGCTGGATGCTTTTCTCTCACTCTTGGAAATGTATTTGGGAATTGTTTGTGTCCAAGCTATGGGGCTATGGGGTGCTGGATGCGTTTTTCTGGCTCTTGACAATGCATTTGGGATGTTTCTGTGTCCGATGGCCTTCTGTTTATGCATGAGGAAAGTCCAAAAACGCATCTGAGCTCCAAAACGTGGGAACGTACGGCTCGAAACGTGAGTTTTAAGGCAAGGTTCGAACGCACTAAGTAAGTGGGAGTTCAGTCCTAGCACCTTCAACAAAGGGCGTTCAAATGCCTTCTGCATGTGCTGACTTGCCGAGTTCGTTTCCAGAGCACTCTTCTGAGTGGGTGTAGCAATCTGAAAGTTGGCTGCTGAGAAACACTTTATCATTCTGGAACATAAGATGAAAATCCATGGAAATCCTAAGATGACTACAGTAGCACATGATATGCTCCGCTCAGTCTGCACAAAGCGAGATCTCTACAACTCATTCTCCACAAGATTCGCCTATTACGCGCTCGTTCCTTTTCCAGCACCGCCTCCATTGCCTCCATCGCGCCACCGACTGGACCTCCAACAGGTCGAGCTCAAAGCTAGACTTTGAACGAAAGGTGGACCAGGTCCGGCTCGGCGGGGTCGCCGGAAACTGCGCGTGGGGCCCCCCACGCGGTGGTTGAACCGCTGTTCTGCACGTTTCCCCACGCGGTGGTTGACCCTGAGGGAGCCCCTGCAGGCCACCGAATGCCAGCCGAACTTGAAGTGCTCAAGATTGCAAAGGACTGCATCACGAAAATGTCGAAATGGCTTTTGGGAAGTGCTGTCGAAATGGTTTCTGCACGTAATGGAAACGAAACTGTCAACTGTCGATGGAGGATTTTTGCTCCAGGTGCCAAAGCAACAGTAGAAATCAAAAGGGGCACTCCGTGTCTGGAAACTCACACAAACTCAAGCGCTTGCTTGTCCAGAGGTTTCTGCTTCGCGAAAACCAGTTCCAACGTGTTCCAAGGTGTCTTGCTTGAGAAGTCTCTTCACACGACACCTTCCACCTAGCCCTGGAGACTTCTTGGCAAATCCCGTTCTTTCCGGGCCAACCCCTCGTTCTTCCCAGTGCCAATTCCCTAGGTCGCACGGTGCGTCGCACGACACGTCTCAACTCCTAGGCTGACATCGGCTTTTCCACGTCTCCTAGGCATGGCTCCCTCAGGAACTGCGGGTATGGTGACGACTTGGCGACGCCAGCGTTGGAAGCGTAGGGACGACGGCGGAAGCCCCATTTTTTGGCGGCGAAGGGAACCCTTCGCCCCAGCCGGGCTTCGACCTTCGACCGGACGACCGGACGAAGGTGGGAAAACATCGCGCCGGGAGACCGAAAGATTCGATGTTGCACCGTTTTGCGCGGTGAAGATGCGGAATAGACACTGTTCGATGATGTTCCGTCTCGGCTCATGGTTGACAAAAGCCAAACCGCGCTACGAGGCGAAGGAACGCGGTTCATTTGGATGGTTCTGGTTCGTCTTTCCCAGTGGAATTCGGGCAAACCACATAAGGAACCAGGGGATTCTATTCTTCGATGGTGTAAGTCTTACAATTGGTTTTATGACTGTTTGAATGCAACCGAACACATGTCTGAGGCGATGTCACCGATGTCGAATGTTCGATGTCAAAGGGTTGTTGAAACACATCTTTTCTGACGAAAACTGTTCGGCTGCCAATCTGTTGAGCCCAAAAAGGGAATCATGGAGACATCTGGAGATCCGAAGCCGGAGACATCTGGAGACCTTTGCAGCGCTCGACATGTCAAGGAAATGAAGAGTTCAATTCAAGAAGTTACATCCATCCGTTGAGAAAGGTCATGAAGGACCAGGTCAAGAAGCAACTTATTTTCCTCAATCCGGCTGGTTGTGCCGCGTTGCTTGGAGAATCATCGGCAGCGCTCATCCTGGCACCAGAAGCTCATATATCGTGTGTATATGTGTGGATATACGATGCATGTATTCTATATATGGGTTCAACCTGGCCCCAAATGCGAGGTCCACAATTTCGAGCAAACCGATCAAGGACAGCAATCCGAAGTTTAAACATGCGGAAAAGAACAGTAAGAATCACCTCTGCAATGAAACTGGCATTTTACATGATAAACAGTTGGCTCAAAGCTGTCGTCCGCCATCCTTAAAAGGGAATGGCAGGTTCCGCATGTTCCGGTTGTCTCCACTCCGCATTCTTTGGCGGAAGGTCGGTCGCAACCATCCCCGTCTCTTCGTGTTCTGCGTTCGCCGGGGAGGAGAATGACAACTACAAAAAATCCATCGCTCGATCTCCAAAAAAACTAAAACCACCCCTCGAAATACAGTATATCGAAAAAAATAATCGAAACATGTCGAAACTATTCCACGTCACACTGCCACAAGTCATTAAGTCTTCGAGGATTCTGGTCATCTCCCGTGAGCCCTCCAAAGATGTAGAAGCGAAAATCTCCATTCGCCCTCGTGCCATCGCTCCAGCCCCGGGGCTCCGGCCACGTATGATCAGCGGGAATGGTGGCCATGAGTGCGCCAGAATCGTCAAGTAGGGCCACGTCATTTTCGAATCCCCCAGCACCTTCATGTCCCAGATCGGATGGGTTCACTTCCCCTCCAAAAACTGCGCTGAAACTGTGAAAGGAGATGGCTACGGACACACTGCGTGGGCGAAGATCGGCCAGTCCTGAAAGAAGGGACTGCTCCCAGGCACCCATGCTCAGGTCATAGGCGTGCCCGTCGTTGGTTTCCTTGCCAGCGAAGCCAGCCACCACCGCAAGGCGATTGGACTGGCCCAAATGAACGAGATTTGGCCCACCACGGCCGCGCAACTTGGATGTTGCAAGGTTATGCCAAGTGCTCCTGACAGTGTCGAACTGGTGCAGATCCGCCAGCCGACCACTAGCACCACAGCCGCCGAATACATAGAGGTTGGTCCCAATGGCCATCATTCGGTGAAAGGATCTAGGCTCTGGAGGCTCATCACTTCCGGCACCCAGCTGCACTTTGGACCAGGCTTCCTTCCCTGGTCGATCGCAGTCGAGGACCCACAAATCATTCAGTGGCTGTTCCTCCATGGCCGTCCCACAACGCCCACCAAAGATGTAGACTGCTGAACCGACTGAGGCCTGGGCATGGGCCACGCGGGGTGGAGGACCTTCACAAGTTAAGCACCTCCAAGTCCAGTCGGAGTCGCCTTCAGCAGCCCACAAGGCTTCCGCTGGCTCCAGGGGCGTTCGGGCCACCCTCTCGCCACCATAGAGGATCAATCTGGATCCACCCCCATCTCTGGGGAGGAACGAGAGGCCATGCGAGCTTCGTTCGCAGGGCACACCCTTGGCCGCATCAGGAGTTGGCCGGAGCTGCTTCCACGTGAACTTGGGCATGTGAGCCATGCTAGCTTGCATGCGAAACATGCCGCATCTGGATCTGGCCACAGGCAGTGGCAACATGGGCCGCCAGGACGGGAAACACGATGAAACAAGTAGTGGAAGCAACTCGATGTCTGAGTTCAATGTCTGAGGTCAAGCCAAGAGCTCTTCCTGTCGGTTCAACCTCCAAACACAAGACGTTTCTGCAGCTAAAGACAAACCCAGACTGAGACTAACAGGTCCCCTCAACCCAGCAAATCAGGACCAATGGTCCATGACTCCCTGACCCAGAAAAATCACCGTAAGTCATTCTGGATTCAGGGCTCTGATGGAAAAAAGCCGTCCTTGGCCACCTCTTCCTTGCTCTTTCAACGGCAAGAAGCGCCTTACGACGGTCAAACCCCTTATGGGAACAGGTCTTTCGTGGTGAGGCCAGTGACTTGTCAAACAAAGAGGCCACCCACAGAGCCAGAAGTGTCGTCTTGGAGAGGATCTCGTTTTTTGAATTTAGATTATTAGGTTTAGGTTGGAGGCCATTGCTATTAATAATTCCAAAGAAGATTGTGTTCTTGTATAATGCGTCCGACCGTACCTTGTCTTGGGAGGAGGTTAGGCATGAGGGCTCTGAGGGCTTGTGCCTGTCATATGGTGCATGATGCTCCTACATACTGTCTCTTCCTCTGTATGCTGGGATACCCGGTCGGCACCCGAAGAGTCTCACCCTACCGGCACCCAAAGACTCTCACCGGCATGCCTACAGGTGGGTGCGATTGGATGCTTGAAAACGAACCACCTGGACAATGCCAACGAGTCCTCTAGTAGCTATACCGCGAGGTAGGTCATCGCTAGTAGGTTGGAGGCCATCGCTACTAGGGCGGAGGCCATCGCTATTTGTAACTTCAAAGAAGAATTGTGCTATTTTGTTTGTTGGGGGGGTTGGCCGCTAGTAGCTATATATAGGTAGCTAGTAGAAGAGGTAGCTACTACCTGCAAGTAGCTACTACCGACAGGACGCAGGATAGCTCACGCTTCTTCAAGGAAGCTCCCCCCGCCGCCTGAGGGCAGGCCGCTCGCACTGTTCATTTGGTTCGATAGATGTTTAGGGAAACTTAACTTTTAAAGCACAAATCAAACAAATCACATAAAATCCCATCCTTTAAGGAATGGCGCCCACGAGTTCGCGCCACTCGGCTGCCGCCACGCCGGCCCCTCCTTCTCGCCATGCCTTCTCTCTCCGCGACGCATCGATCACCGATCGGACGTGCAGAGGCGTTCGCCCGTCCGGTGACCAGGAGGTTTCGACTATAATTGAGTGACTCATATGTCGCCTCAATCCGCCTCCATCCATCCATCTCAATTCATCCCTCCATCCATCCATCCATCCATCTCCATCCATCCATCTCATATGTCGCCTCCATCCATCCATCCGACTTACAAGTGATCAACACTCACCACTCAGATGAGTGACGATCCCGTCAGTGACCACCCGCGTCGAAGCCGCGGGACGACGCGTCGGTTTCCGAGCGACGGTTAGGCGTTCGCCTGGGCCCGGGAAGGGCCGGTCATCTCCATGCCACGGAAGGGGCCCAGCGAGTCCGAATCTACCTACCTATTGTGATCAGTGCCCTGTTACTGGGTGCTCTGTGAGACGAAGCAAATAGCAACTCAAAGTGGTGACTGTCTGCAGCATCTCAACTTTGGGTGGGGCTCTGGCTCCGCCAAAGAGCCAAAGCTGAACGAGCCGTTCTACAGAACGCGATGGCGTTCCGAAAACATGGGTCGCCCTGTTTAGAACCGAGAACACCACTCTCTCTTACTCTCTGACTCTCTGTCTTTCCAATGGGCTGCATACTGAGCGCAGATCTGCCACTCAAGCCTGGTCATGATTCCCAGCAAAGAATTCACACTCATTCCAAGTGGCCCACAAAAAACAGCCCCCAGTTCTCCGCTTTCCAGCCCTCAATGTCGGTTCTGTTCATCCCTGTTCATCGCACTGCTTAAGGCTCTTGTTTATCATTCTCAGTCTGTCCAGGTGAGCTTGGATGATCTCATTCTCATCCCTGGCAGAGGCGGAGACTCAACACGTGACCAGGCAGCACACTCCAAAAAAGCGCAGGTATTCAGATGAGTTACTCAGTTTTACTCCTGGGCTCCAGGAATATCTACAGGACACAGGCCCGAACCCTTGTCCAAGTGCTTTTCTCTATAGTTTGCTGAAGCCAAACCCTCTGTCTGACCAGCATAACGCCGAGAACTCTCTCTGAAACACAACTTCTTGGCATTGGTTGCTTTGTTCCTTTTGAGGGTGGAGTCTGTCGAAGCTTTTGCATGACTGCAGTAGATTAACAGAACGTCTGTACACCACCTGCGACGCCACAGACACTGTGGATACTGTAGTGAGTCCGCAGTTCTTTCTCAGACTTATTAATAAGGCCACCTAGATTCGATTACTATTGAAGCAAGACCCTTAAAACCACTGGAAGCACCAGCAGGGGCCCGAAGTTCATGGTTTATGACCCATCTCAAGAGATGCTGGTAATTCACATGGAGTTTAGTCAACGCGAAGCCGCGCGCTTGGGATGAGCTCTGACAAATCCAAAAAACGGACCTTTGCAGAAATGACCCACATTGGATAGCCGAACCCAATTGGAGATATATCTAGATCTACGGGGCAGAACATGGCAGAAGATTGGCAATCAAAACTGGAAAATGAAAAACCTATTTAAAAAACCACCCATCCAGGTTCGCTGCGTTCGGACGAGCGGGCCAGACTGCTGCCACGCCCCAGTGAACCCCCGCATGAATGGACCCGACGGCTGAGGAAGACAAAAATTGCTTGCGTTAGGAACGGCATCCAATCCAAGAGAATCCGTTATTGAGCAATATTAACCAGAAGCTACTAGGGGCTCCTGGCATCGCTACTAGGAACGAGAAGCTACTACGAACAAAGGGCATCGCTACTAGAGCAAGGACGCTACTAGGGGCTCCGGCCATCACTGGATCACCAGGCATATTATAGTGTATTGATTTATCATATTGAATATTGTTGAGATTGTGAGCTTCGGAAACCAAACACAGAGCCAAATCTGCACCCCCACAGCATCTCCCAATTAAGGAAAGTTCTCCCCACAGATTTATGCTTCACACAGATCCCCTCATCTCATAAGCGCAAACCTTCACGCGTGCCTTCCCAGCCCATCTCGCCCCGCCTTTGCGCCTGTCATGTGACCTGCGCCATAGCCATACGGTGGCGAGGTCCACTTCACACCTGCCAGAGCTGTACACTGGAGCTTCTCAAGCTGAATGGACCGTTGTCTTCAAAAGTGTGTCTTTCTTTGGATCTTGGTGGTCGCTGGCCCCCTCCACCACTAGGAAGCTCCATCTTGAAGATCTTGGAGGTCCGGAAGAGCAATTTCTCTCCTCTTGGGACTCTCGGGGCCTAGGGATGCCTGGCGAGGCCAATCCCCACAGTAGCACTAATCCATACCACCAATCCCGCATGAGAGACGCAATGCACCGGCTACCCACACGCTTGCATCCGGACGCGTCCAGTGCCGCATGTGTTTCGACCGGCCTTTTGGTATTCTCTTGATCCACGGCATCAAGACCTCCTCGTCTGGTGGTGACGGTGAAGGCCCTCCCACGGTCGGGCTGGTTGGTCAGGAAAACGGCGAGCTGGCTCGAACTTGGTCACGCGATGGCTGAGTTCTTAAGCAGAGGGGATGGGAAGATGCATTTCCAAAAATTGGCCCAATCCCAAAGGCAAAAGGCAGATTGGTCACAACTCCCAGAGGTTCTTCATTCTTGTCCCTCGTCGCATCTCGGACACTCGTTCCGGCGAGCTGGTCGCCACTTGCGAACGTTCGACCCTTTCAAAACCGCGACCGGAAACAGTGGCTTCCTGCGGTGAAAACTTCCGACCCGGAAAACCCAGGTCAAACCCACAGCGGCAGACGACCGACTCAGCTGTGGCCACGTGACGAGATATTGACTCAGCTCCACAATGGTTCTAAGGCGCGGCGACTCCGCAAAAGAAAGCAAACGGAATCCCGAAGAGAAAAGAAGAGCTCTGTGGCCACGTGACGGAAGAAGCGCAGGAGCTGAGCTTTGCAGGGTCCCGGGGACTGCGCCGTCGGACCGTCCCCACCGACGACATGGTGCGACCAAACCCAGGAATGGAACTCCTGCCGAACGGGCTTGTTTACTCGTAAATGGAGGCTCAAGACGGACAAAAGCCCGCCACCATTGGCGGTTCAAACCATGAGCAGGGTTTGGCGCTGCACGGATCGAACGGTCCAGCTAGGAAGGGTTTGGTTGTCTCACCTTCAAACTGATGGCATTGCACCGATGGCAACACCACCGTTCAGTCCAAAGACACCACCTTCTTGAGGAAGAAACTGCCAACCCCTCCAAGGTTCGACATGGAGGAAAGGTGAAAATAGGTGACATCTTGAACCTTGTTTGAAGAAAAATGGGTCAAACCAGGAGTCACATGTCGGTGTGGTGTTTAGTCCCATCCGGTGAGTGGATGTGACCAGGGCACCCCGTTGAAACTGCTGGAAGTAGAACAATTCTTTACTCCACATCGCTACTAGTAACAAGTACATCGCTAGTAGTAAAAAGATGTAAAAAGAAGATACTAGGGGCTCCTGGCATCGCTACTAGTAACTAGTAACAAGTGCATTGGGCTTGGTACCCTCATCGGCCACCGGTGGCCCGACTCGACGAGGCCACCTGAGGCCGGCGAGGCCAAAGGCGTCTTGATCGGCTTGCCGTCGACCCCTCAGGACGCCGTTGGGCCCGAAACAGCCGTTTCAAACAGAAGATGTGCTGCTGGTGGAAGCTTTCTCTTAGGACGCTCTGTCCCCCTACTACTTAATTAAGATAATTAAGTAGGCGTCTACTTAATTAAGTAAGGGCTAAGTTAGCTTTCAGGTAGGACGCAGGATAGCTCACGCTTCTTCAAGAAAGCTCCCCCCGCTTCTTCTGGGCAGGGGAGAGCTTCCTTGAAGAAGCGCTCGCACTATTCATGTGGTTCCTAGAGCTTTAGGACAAGTGCTGCTGGTGGAAGTGACCTAATCTTGTGTCATCGCTGTTGATCAGCTTCAGTCTTCCAAGGGTTCTATGATCAGGTTCAATTATAGCTTTTTGGTCATGGAAGACATCCAGAAGTCTAAACGTTTGGAACCAAATTTCACCCACTGGCCCGCCCACCAACCTCTCCACCAGCCACCTCTGTAGCCCCCGGGCGTTGGCCACTGCCGCCGAAGAGCTTGGGCCCTTCCTGACCAAGCGCGGGCGCGTTCAGCGTGTTCAGCGCTAAACGAGCGCGTGGACGGTGACTACATGGAAGGAACCCTGAGCAATTCATCAAAAATCGGATGCTTCCCCAGATAGCGACTAGTGACTATTGGGAAGGCTGACCTCGTCTTTCCGCGGGTGGTTGGGCCAAACAAGAAGCATAGGCAGCTTCCTGAGCTGTGTATGTATGTAGATATATGTGTAGTGTATATAATATAGAATTACATTGCATAACATAAGAGTACATTACATTGCCACTACATTACATACATACATTTGTATTATGATATATGCATAGAGAGAGATATACCACTGCTTTCAGCATCTTTCAGCTGCTTCCAGAATTCATCGCACCAACCTGTGGCATTTCTTCCGGCAAACAGCTGCTACGACTCCATTGGCCAAGGTCGATCGGGCCTCCATCTCAGCATCTGCCTCTTCCTCCTGCGAGAGCGAGAAAAAGAAATTCCCAGCAGCTGAATGAGAGAAGGAAGCAGAACCAAAAACCAAGTCTTCAAGCTCCATACACCAAGCCACTGGATGTTCGTGGACGGATGTTCATCATAGGAGTCCTACAATCCGATGTTCCATGTTCGACAAAAAACACTTAGATCATCACAGGCTCTGCGAGAGTCTAGCAGGTGCGGACCTGGGACCACAAGGTGCATAGGGGTCCTTCTTTTTGAAAGAATCGCAGACCCGAAAGACCCAAACACTTCAAAAGCGAAAACGTCTAGCATCTCCCACTTTCTCCCACTGCCAGGAACGTTCGGCATGTCTTGGCATGGCATCCGTGAAACTCCTTGGTGTCGAGGTGAGTGCTGGCAACCGCAGCGGCGGCTGGAGGAGCAGGCTCCTGTGGCGGACAGGGCCTTTTCGAAACTATCCCTGTTGTACCATTGCTTGCGATCTTGGTGATGCTTTCAGTAATTATTGTCTTTGGTGTTTATGTTTTGTGGACAAACCTGTATCCATTAGTTGTCGCTTGTTCATGTACATGTACCTCTTTTGCGATGCGATGCGAGTGCTAACCTCCCGTGCGATGCAACTGTTGCAACGTCCACACCGTTGGAGCGGACGAAGTGGGGTGCGGAGTTCGGGTCAGCGGGTCGTCGAGGTGAAGCAACATCTCAAGAAGATGGGTGCGTCCGGGTCTGCTGTTTGGGGTCCAAATGGCTCCGTCCAGCATCGGTCCAGCAACGGTTCAGAGAAAAGACCGTCCAAGCCCAGGTGTATGACCGACAGCCCATATAAGATCTGTGAACAAAAATACATTCAGACTCAGACATCCAACGAGGACGTACATCGAACGAAGGTGTTGGAAGGCAGCCCTCGGCCTCACGTTCGCTCGGCTCCGGCATCAACCCCCCAACCGCACCTTGTAGTCCTTGGGTGGTGCGAAATCCACGTTGACGTCCGCTTCGATGATGGAAATGGCTTTGGCAGGCTTGCACTGGCGAGCGAACGAAGGCGCGTCGGATTCCCACCATGCGCAGCTGTGGTCACAGTTGGTCACTGCAGCTCTGATCAGAGAGTACTTCTGGCCACTACTTGATGACTCCTTACAGGTCAACGTTTCATTCACCCATGCGCACTCGTCACCCTCGACTCAGCGGTCTAATGGTCAGCGAGGGTATCGAAACTCGATCAACGGTTTGTCAGCAGCTCCAGACCTCTACAATCTCGATCTCATATTTCCGTTGGTTGTAATCGATGACCTCAGGTGCGACGCCCCCTACCAGCTGCCGCACACTGGTAAGTAGTAGTATGAGGTGTGCTTCTCGCCAAATGCTGAAGAGGCAGCTCCGCACTCGTTCTTTCATCGATCGTACTATTGAGCCATGTCTGCCATGTCAGGTCCACCACCCTTAGGGAATCACAGTGAATTTGCTCAAAACAGGTCCAGGAAATTTACGAACCGATCTATTGGGTGGCGATCTAAGTGGATTCTGAAACACCTTCGACCCCCTTAACTGCGTCCGTGCTCGCCATGTAGGGAGCCCAGCAATACAATCGCCCACTGTCAAAGTGGCGAAATTCCTGCCAAACGCCAAGCAGGCCAAGGGAAACCCAGATTAAGCCCCCCAATGCCATGGAGAGTCATGCAGAATACATCAAAATACATTCTTCCAGGGCGACACAACATTTGCATACATGTGCACATAGTAATGTTGACTGTCTATTCATCCAACCTCCCGCCTCCGGTCTTACATCTGACATCTCCACGCTTCTCAGGGGTCTTATTCATCAACCATCAACATCACACTCCCTGATGTTGGACCCCGCAGCGTCCAAACGCCGCTGGCTTGCAGCGTCACATCTTTCGGTGACGGAGGTCATGAAGCACTGGACCTTTTTGGTGTGTCAAAGACCAGAACAGCTCCTGTACTAGCTCCTGTCCAAAACGAGGAAAAAGGCAGAAAGGACTCCAACTTAGAGGCTCATTTCATGACTGTCAAAAGTCATTCTGCGTGGTTTTCGGACCATCTCCGGGTTCGACCGATGGTCCTTCTTTCCGGTCTTCTGAACGGCCCGAGTTCGGCGAACGGGGTGACCCGAAAGGAAGGGGGACGGAGGACGGAAGTCGCCTCAACGAATTCTCCAGCACTGCTCGGGGGTTGTGAATGTCCAAGAAGTCCTGGCGTCCGAGGACTTCTGGCGGCTTTTTGGGTGCACACGAGCGGACACGGCATGTGGATTTTTGTGCGGGAATGGTTGTGCGGACATGTGGATGTGTGGCTTGTTTGAGTTGAAGTCGTGCCATCCAACTGAGGGTGTGAGGCAGCCTGTCCGTGTTTACATTCTGGTGCAGTGCACTGCACCAAGAACAGCTCACATTACAGCCAAAGATTCGTAGAGATCCTGCATAGATGCATCAACACGGCAAAAAGTACTGTACAAGAAAGAGGCAAAGCAATTCTCATCAATCAGACTGCCTGCTTTGAATGTGATAGGCAATGTGACATGTTTGCCGCTGCTTTGACAAATAAGCTCAGCCCCATAACAAGCTGCCGGCGGTACAGAATGCACTGGTTGAAGCTTCACAAAGCTCCCTTTGGGCAATGAAGTATTGCAGATCTCAGTGCCGCTCGGACCCGCTTCTTTGTAGAGTGAGAACTAGCAGCAAGCATAAGACCAGACAATCCCAAGGTGCCCTGGTGTCACTGTGCAAATGGGCGTGTGTCAAAAAAAAAAACATGGGGGGTCTTTTTCCCAAGCAATGGAGTTGAGTCCAATCGAGTGTACCAAAAGCCGTCGATTCTTCCTTTACAACGGGGTCATCCGTCCAACGCGGTCATCTCCATTGGCAACATCCGTCCACTTACTTTTCCCTTGGTCTATCCGACCTGCTAGACCTGGGACGAGTCTTGGAAACTAAAGTCTCAAACCGATGGCACTGAGCGATGCCAGCCATGCCATTCGGCAACAGGAGAACATGTGAATCAGATTGCATGTCTTGACTTGTGCTACAACTGCAATCACCAAAAAAGACTTCAAAGCTCTCGAAGAGTCGCCTGGAACAGACCAGAACTCCGGCGAGCTCCTCTCTCAGCCCCACACTCGGACCAGGTCACCTTCCTGCAGGAGAAGGTTTTGCCTCCAATCACGAGATGGCCAGCGTTGTTTTTCGCGATCCGACAACCAAGGCGTTTTGTGCTTGTTCTGAAGCACCCTCTGGGGCGTGGTTTAAAAAAAAAAAAACACTGACACTACGGTAGGATAGCTTCACCGGCCAGGTGGGTGGTGGATGTGGGTGTGTATTGCGTGTTTAAAAAAAAAAAAAGTACACCACCTGATACATGACAATCTTCTCGCATTCTGGGTACCATCCTCCAGTGCAACCAGCCATATACACACACATGCGATGGGCGTCTTTAAGGCACGTGGCTTCTCTTTGCGCAAGACACTCTCTGCCAATGCATCGAACGTTTGGAGTACGAACGTTTCCCAGTCAGTCTGGGGCAACAACATCATCCAGTAAGGGAGGAAGCACGTTCCCTCTTCAGCCTAAGTGCTGAAGCGGGCGGCGACAGAAGCCCCGCTTCGCTTGAAATCGCCTAAACAGTCACTTGATTTTCAGACAGGGAAGCCCGTGAAAGGTCCCTAAAAGGGAGAAGTATTCTGCCTGGTAAACAACAAGGGATATATACATATATACCTGGCAACCAATGTCCAGAACAGTACTACATGTACCAAGTTTTGACTCTTTGGCTTTGGTGTTGAGGGTTTCACGGTTTTCTTCACATTTTTCGGTGCAAGAGCAAGACAATCATATGCTGTCCTCAAGCAATGTGGCACCCGGTGCTCGACACAGTCCGGTGCTCGTCCCTAGTTTCGATGCGTGCTGGCCCACACGACCGTGGACGCAGACTGGGCATCCAAGCGATGAATTCCTGGACACCACCGTGAGTGGATCTTGAAGTGGTAGGATTCGTCATCTGCCAAAGGCTGGTGGCCGGAAGCTGACAGGCGAAGACGCACGGGCGTCCGATGGGTGAATTTAAGAGCCCGAAATCAGAAGGACCTTCGGGAAAGGTCTCTCTCGTCTGATGAAATGCCAACCCTTAACTGTCACAGGCTATGGCGGCCATGGCGTGCATTCCTTTTTTCCAACAGCGGCATCGTTCCTCAAAAAGGCCACGTTCCCAAAAAGGAAGCAGGACACTCAACCCTCTCAACCCCTTGGGCATCCCTGGGCCCTGCTCTGTTCCTACCACAACCCGACGGCCCAACAGAAACCACCTGACTTGAAGCATGGCATGGAAGGCTTCTCCGCCCTAGGTGCCAAAAAACTGGATCACATCAAGATTAGGTCGACGAGACATCTCTTGTGACCAAAATAACACACTTGGTACTTGTGAGAATCAAACACTTGGTCCTGCAAGACTAACTGGTGTTTGCCAGCGCATGTCACCAGGCTTTGGTGACTGCGCATGTCACTGGTCCACCAGACTTACGTTGCGCGGATGGTCAACACCGGTTACGAACGGACCGCCGAATCAACAAGATGAACACGGCCAAAAGGTCAAGAGTCAAGAGTTTAAAGCAGGATGCCTGATGCCTCCTGCAAGATCCAAGTCTATCTCAGCTCTGAGATCACTAAGCTGCTGATGTTTCGGGGAGTGAAAACCCGCACCTGCAAAAATGAAAATCTAAATCTGTTTGGCTTCATGACAGGTTCATCTCCTTGAACCTGCATTGTCGTTTTCGATGTGAACTGTTTTCAGTGCACTAGCAGTACAACTGCCTGTTGAATCACCATGCTGCGCTTCTTCTTCCCCAAAAGGACGGCAATAGCCAGCCCAACTCCGCCTCAAACAGCATGGGCCAGGAAATGTTCAGTCGGGCGAGGTGGTCCAAGGCAGATTGCGGCAAAATAATCCTTGGACGCATCGCGCCGGGACGCAGGGACGCGCGTTTCAACGGTCCGCAGACCACGTGGACCATCGGGCCACGTCTCATGTGATCCAACCGAAAAGGCGATCTGGGGAAGCTGATGGGTAAGTGGGACCAGATGCAACATAAGATGCGCTACCGGTCAATCTTCCTCCAAGAAAAGGGGCTTGCTCGGCACTGAGGACTCCGCTTATTTCCCTTCTCGAGCTCTTCTTTGCCCATGAAGGTCACTGGGAAGACTTGATACTGGTGGTCGAATCGGCCTCGCAGAGAAAAACAACTCAAATGGCTTCAAGAACCTCAACCGCAGCAACCAGCAATGGCTTCACGTGGCTTTTTTCGGCTTCACGTTGCTTCCATGGAGTCGGATGTTCTCCGTTTGGATGGCTCTTTTGGGTGCAACAGTCACCACCCCCCGTTCGGATGGGTCGACCCGGCACCACCAACCAATGCCACGAGCCGTGGCTTCTTCAAATCCCTTTCGCTTTGACCAGATCCGTCGGACCGTCGTCCCGTCGGTCGGACCGTCTCCGCGGGGGGGGGCCGAAGAGAGACGGAGGCTCCGCTCGGACACGCCCACCTGGGACGCCACCTCCGAAGAAGCCACCTGGACGCGAAGACGACGCTGACGCGAAGACGACGCTGACTGGTCCAAAAGAGGAAAGGGGTTGTGTGCCTTGGACACATGACTCATCATGACATTGATCACCAGCATGAACGTCTGATTTGGATGGCTTTCGGTGGCTCTGAAAATGCTGACCGAAAATGGCGACATGCATGAACTCCTCTTGCATCCACGTGTTTGTACCGGAACACTACCCACAAGGCCCGACCCCATCGTGTCCCAAATTGAACACCCCTTCCCATCAGTGTCCTAACATGCCATCCCACACAAAAACAGTGCCGACTAGCCAAAAGCAGCCTTCTACATCCGAGTCACCAGTCACTAGCCCCGAGTCGCCTGCGTATGTTTCATCTTGAAGACCACAACAAAATCACGGCATGGATCCTTTAACAATGCATCTGCTGATTGTTGCATGAGGCCAGAAGCCATCGTTGATCGCTCCATAGCGATTGATCGCTCTCGGCCCTCTCCGCCTGGGCCCCGGCCCTCTCCGCCAAAGAGGCCGCCGCCGAACATGGCAGCGCCGGAGCCTTGGTTGGCGCTTCGCTTTTGCGTTCGACTTGGGCATGCATGTTCAACATCATCACCATTCTTCAGCACCTTTCCATACCTTTCTGCATTCTCCATGAAGCCAACCATGTTGCACGTTCTTGTTTTCCTGTGCCCCAACCAGTGCCAGCCCTTCCCCGGAACCCAGTCCGTCCAGTCCTCCGACCGTTCGCTGAGACGCCAGACGGCGGAGGACGACCCGGTTTCGACGCGGTTTCTGCGAGGAGCGCCGCGACCGGGGCGGCAGGAGCCGCTCTCGAATTCTGTACAAAGCAGCTGTGAGCCGCGGCAGTGCAGCAAGAAGCTGGAGGTGAAGCAGGGTCACGTCGTGCAACAAGAGAGCAGTTTTAGACAATGGAGATGCTCTGCCGAATTCACTCAAACAGCAAACAAGAGACCAAGAGAGCACTTGAAAAAGAAAGTCTGGGATACGAAGCCGAGCCGATGAGAATGGAAGGGACGTTTTCCGGGCATGTCTTATATGGCTTAATCGCACTCCAATCATTGTTCATGAGAGCGAGTTGCCGCATGTCCGATGGTTGTCCAATGATGTTGTGAACCCCAAGTTGATATCAAGACCGAGTGTTGGCTGCAAGGTGTCCACAACGATTCTCTGCGTTCGACTTGGAATTGCTTCAGGAACGGGTGACAAAAGAAAAACAAACATATATTCCCCAGGGGAAAACAAAAATCCTCCTAAGCAAAACCAAGTCCATCTTCACCTTCAAGGGACCAAAACAAGGGACCGAGTTGCTTCGACCGAATCCTTGACTCTCAATCCCTGACTCGCGTTCTTGGCTGCATTCATCTGGTGTGCGCCTTCCCCCAAGCACAACACGGGTGGACTTCGCGGCCTTTTCTGCGGTCAGGCCCACCACACGGGCGGTGCTCAGCCACTCAGCCACGCAGCGAGGGCATCACGGTGGCACACGAAGCCAAAGCAACCTCTCCAGATCATCGACCGTCAAATCCCCGGAACCACCGACGCCAAGGGCCTCCATCTGTTCGAAATCTAGATGGAACCGGTGTTTTTCAGGGAACCCGTCCTGCTACACTTACAAGCGTGGTTGGCTGCACTTGGTGGCAGTCAAGAGAAATCACCTGCCTCATACTTCGGAAAGCACGTGCCTGCCGTGCCACCTGCCACCTGCCGTGCCACGGGTTCGCCTTCTTCGGCCGCCCCACCGGCCTCCAACTGCTCCTTCGCTCCAAGGGCTCCTTTGGCTCCGATACACACCACGAAGTGCACCTGGCGTTGCAGGCTGCTCCACGGTTGCCATCGATGGGCACGAAGAAGGACGAAGACCAGTCCTTTTTCTACCCTCCAGGGCGTGAAGCAGTTTGACCTGCCAAATCAGGGTTTTGTACAGTAGATGTTGTATATTTTTTAATCAATCGACTTGTTGTTTTAATCAAGCAAGATTCTACATTTAATGTATATATATATATATTATATATAATCAATATATATATATATATTATAGAGAGAGAGAGAGAATAAGACCGTGGGGAAAGTTGCGGCTCTCAATGGTAAAGTTAAGAGCCATTTTCTTGAGACACACCTGCCATGGCAGACCGACTTCATCCCCAAACAAACGAACAAACAAACGAACTAACTAACTACCTAGCCCACGGGGTTGAACTCCGGATCAAACCAAAAATGCTATGCTCAGGCGGTCCAATTCGATTCATCAATGCTCAGAAAAACCTGTTCTCCACCGGGGCTTCCGCCATCGGAAGAATCTCACCTCGGCCTCCGGCCAAGGCTCCAACGTCACCTGCACGCCGGGTCGGGCGACCCGACGCCGGGTCGGGCCGGGTGACAGGAAAGGACGTTAACGAGGTGACAGCCCTCAAAAACACCCAAAGCGTAAAGCCCAAAAGACCAACGACCTTGTCTTTCTGGCTTTTCTCATGCATCTTCTGGGTGGTTCTGAGTGGTTCACTCCTGAAAGCTGCCCTTCATCTCAGATCATCTCAAGCATTCATTGTGGAACATGGTTTTCGACCCAAAGCTGATTCCGTGCGAGCCGATTTTGCGGGTCAGCATTGCCACATGACCGACCAGCTGGAAAACTTCCATACCATCCTTGCAGCAGATGCCCTAACATTCTGCTACCCATTGGGTAACGCTGTGGCAGAGCCAATACCCACGGACGCTTGTGACGGAGATGGAAGTACACTTTACAGTAATTGGCTTTGCAGACTTCAACCGGCGTCAGAAAGCAACCTTTGGCACTGAGTAAGGCACAAGGGCGTAGGGTAGCCAGAACGGTGTGAGGCCATTGGAGAGCAGTGTCAGAAGCCATTGGCTGACCTTGCTTCCCCAAGGATCATGGATGTGAAGCAACGTATGGTGACTAACCTGACAGAGAGACTGCCAAGCTTGTAAATTCGACTTGAAATCGAACTCTGTTCCAAGTCCATGGTCCAAACTCGCCATCCGAGTGGAGTGGTTGAGAGAGAGAGAGAGCCAATACGCGGTGTTGGGAACGCTCCTGAGCCAATACGCTCGTGAAGACTCTTTCTTCGGCGCTTCAACCATCCAACCCGGCCTGTGGAACTGGGCACCGCTGGGCCCGGAAAACACGGCCTGGTGGAACTGGGAAGTGAGTTGGTCCAGATGAGATGGAAGTAGACAGGTAGGGTAGACTGAAGAACCCCGGCGTCAAGCAGCAAAGCTTGGCAGTGAGCGACACACTCTGCAGGGCGATGTGTCCTGTGGAAATACGCCATGGCGCGGCGGTGCCAATGTTCGTGGACACAAAGCTGGCCAAAGATTGGGTCGAGGGTAGACCTGGGGGTTGACTTGAACCGGCGTCATAAAGCAAAGCTTGGCACTGAGTGAGGCGCTTTGCGGAGCAATTTTTTTCGTGTGGAAATGGGAGGGGCCGAGGCTGGGCAGCGACAGGGATGAGGTAGAGATAGTAGACTTTATAGACTTTGGGCGGCACTGAGCGAGGCGTGCTGATGGCCTGTCTGCCACCAGCTATTTACTTTCATGAATTTAATGTTGGTGGGCAGGGTATGACTTGGCTGCTCTCGTTCTCTAGGATTACAATTCTCTTTTTAGTAAGTCGATCCTGACTACCAATAAACCCTAGAAAAGGATAAAGAGCAACCATCATAACTAATCATAATTATGATATGACCAAAGCATTAATTGTTTTATATACCAAAAAAATAAGTATAATCCACTACACATATCATTTCTCATGAGATGCCTGATTGATAAATCATGAAGAAACTGCGTGTCATCGTCATATATTTTAGTACCAAAATTCATAAAATACCATGATGGTACAAAAATATCATGATGCTGGTGTCTTCTTCAATGTTGGTTTTAGCTTACACCGCCAGGCCAAGAGCAGGGAACCTCAGATCCAAGAAGCCCATCCCACCTGATCGCCAGCTCCTTGAAGAAGCATCAGCCCTCGACCTGACGCACTCAGAAGTTCAACATGTCTCCTACATCGACCTCCTCCTACGCCTTTGCCTGCTTCGTACAAGCGCGAAACCAAAGGCGCTGAAGCAAAGGTCCGAACCAAACGCGGGACAAGGCCGGTGGGCATCGGTGAAAGCCGCCCCCCCCCGCCGGCGGCGGAAAAAGAACACCACTACAGGAACTGAGGACGTCAGGATCGTAGGCGTAGGCGGCCAACGAATGATGATTTCGCCTCCCAAAAGGCCATACGTGCCTTGCGGAGTGAAAAGATCCATGGGTCATGACGCAGGCAGGAGGAATCAAGAAGAAAGGGGGTCCAAAGTCCTGAGCAGCATGTTTTTCCTGACATGCCACAAAAAGCACGGCGGAGTTCTTGAAAATGAGGAGCTGCAGAAGAAAAAACATGAAAAGCTACAGCTACTAGTAGCATGCTTGCTAGTAGCTTGGAGGCCATCGCTACTAGGCAGGCCACTAAGAGCTAGGAACCTACTAAGCTGCGGAACGTCACTCTGGGAAGAATCGTCGTCCCTTTCCGTTCAAAAAACCGACTCGCGGATCTTCGCCCCAACCGGTCGCCCCCGTCAGATCGACGGATCCAACACCTTGGATCTGTAGAAGACCTTTGATCCGCCAGACCTCGTTACACGCGGCGCGCGGGGCAGGTCAAGGCGAAATCGTCGCCAGCCACAAACGCGAGTCATCTTTCGTCCCGAAGGTTAAGGTATTTCTGACGGCCTACACTCATTGAAATAATCATGGAAGTGAAAAAAGAACTAGGGCCATTGTCCACGTCCATCTTGGGCTCCATCTTTATTGCAAGGAGTGTATGATTCTTAGAGGCTGTAGGCACACCCGGAAAAAGATCCTCTGTCACCAGCGTGTCCTCTAAGCACCACCATGCACATGGCTCTCACAAGCTCAATACAAGGCAAACCTGTGCTCCAGCTGTGCTCCCAGCTCCACCGCTTTGGTTATGGCTTCATTGTTAGGAACATTTAGGAACCATTCAACAACAGCTGACATGATATAGTTTCGTCCTTGCGTGCTTCGTCCCGGCGCTCGCGGCCTCCAGATCTGCCTCTCTCGAAAGGAGGAAAAGGGAGGACAACGGCAAAGATGAAGGGTGGCCATGCTCATGTGTCGATGTTTTGATGTGTGTGGGCACTGAGATTTTGAACGAATCCAAAGTGCAGCGAGATGGTGCTACAGTGTTGGGTGAATTTCTACACATGTTTGGAAGATTCCAGGTGTGCTTCTCTACGAAGTCACTCATGAGACTCATGAGTCACTCATTGAGGTCTTCTTGAAGAAGACACCCAGTCTCGCGATGTCGGCGTTCCGGTCACTTCAAGTGATGAAAGTGTATTGCTGTCTGGCTCTCAAGAGCAACATTCCAACCAACAACTTACCCACTGGAAACAAAGGATTCTTCTTGGATTCTCAAGTTTGTGGCAATTACAACGGTAGATCCAACCTATTTGCACCACAAATGTCGGCCAGCCATAAAAGGTGTGTCTCGCACAACAAAGCCATACCCTTAAGTTCAAATGGTACAAGACTCAAGAGGTGGTTGATGTACTCTACTTTGTACTTGCACGGCATCCACCTTTGACGGATCTCAGTCGCACCTGAAGCAATCCACGCGCCCATCGCAGCAAGGCATCCTCGCAAGGACGACGCAAGGCCCGGGTCTCCAAGAAGGACGACGCTCACGTGACAGTCACCCGAAGTACAGAGTTCGGACTCACCAAATCCGGAGGCTTTCGGATGCCATGCTCACCCTGTTCTAGCTATTCTGGGAGAGGCTGCTACATGTGAATGTTTGTGAGCCTTGGAGAATGCAATAGGCAATAAGATTAAAGAGTTCTCAATGTACATCCTCACCTAACACTAGACCCTACGAACTCCAAGAGGAACCCACACTCGTTTTGGGACAAAGAAACGAGTGTGGAACAGCAAAAACCTCCTGGAGCCTTCCATATGAACCACGGCTGACAGATGGGCCACACGTCCTCTGCAAACAGCTTGCCCTCAAGACGCAGAGTGATGCACTCCACTCCTTCCAAGTGCGCCTCAGTGATGGAGGTCAAACAACCGCAGGTACGGTTCCAAATAGCGTGCCAACGACCATGGAATTGGAATGGCTTGAAACAGATTGTGTTCCTCTGCTGCTCCTAAACCATGCCTCAATATGAGTCTTGCTGGCTAGGACCACAGTGGTCTTGGGCAGTCCTTGTTTGATCTTGTTTGGGTGCCACAAAATCAGTGTCCCAAAAACCTATCCAAACTCAGAATTGTACAGTACTATTCTCAAAAGTCGGCACCTGCGACCTGTTCCATGCCACAACTGAATGAGATGTTCTCTGGTCGCCGAGCTGTTCCCAGCAACAGGTGACACAGCCCCTTTAGGCCTTCGCAATTCATGGAACCTCATCTTGCTCCTCATCCTTCTCAACATGAAGAAAGCGAGCCGAGGCCCTCAAACCGCTGGAGCTGTTCCCTTCCCAGCAGATGTCTTTGCTGTAGCTCATCATGGTGCCTGGACGAAACGGTGCCGCTCAGAGGAAGGGGCCGATCCCTGGGGGGGAACACTCCGGCCCCGAAAAAAAACGGAAAAGAAGTCGGGGCTGGCGAAGCATCTTCGGTGCCGTATTCATACACGCTCTTCTTTCGTGTTCTGCACATGTGTATATTCCAAAAAAGGTGGAGGTGACCCCCTAGACCAAACAAATGCTTGATTGTATCACTATCTTCTCCTGACTCGATGCATCTCGTGCCACTTCAAGTGCTTTCCGACACGCACCAGCACCATACAAAAAGGTCCCCCCAAATCCTCGGGCCTCCGTACTGCAAGGTCTTGAACTTACAGAGGTCGTAGGAATCGCAGAACATGCGGATGGTGTCATCCACACCCTTCCGAAACAGATCTTCAATGCTCTCCAACGTACAGTGAGGTGCTGAGCCATAGAAGCCTCAGCACCAGCTCTCTACCGTGCAGTCGCCGAAGAGTCAGTCAGACATGAAACCCCGAGAAGACGACGGACGACATCTTCCATGCGGTTTTGCACCAGGATTTGATGGGTCGCCGAAAGCAAAGATTTTGAGTGAAGCATCGTGAAGCAAATGTGTGAATCTTTCAGAAAGAAGCGAGGGCTTTCAGAAGGAAATGATCTGATGTTTGAGCCTTAAAGGGCCTATACTTCTTGCATCCTGATCAAGAAGGTCTGGAATAGAATCATGGTAGATATCGTTTCTAGACAAAAAAAGGTTGAGGTGTACGCCAAAAAGGCATCTCCTCCAAATTGAAACATTGTGGATCATTGTGGCTTCGCTAGAAACCACTGCGGAGGCATCTGTCCTCAAGTGAAACCACAAAGGTCTTTGCCAAGCCGTCATTGCAGACATGCAGCTGTGATGATAGAAGACAATTTTGCCCTCGCGGCCAGGGAATGGAAGTATTCCACCTGCACTGCCAGAGTGAATGGACAGGCTAATCTTTCACAGCATTGCATAATGTTGGAAGAAAGGCATGCACGCACGAAAGGCCATTTCTTAGTGCTGCGGCCGGCTTTCTCCGCAAGCTCCAGTATGTTCCTTGAGATGTATAGGTTGGCTGAAGTCGCTAAGCTGGAGCACAAAAGTTCTTGTGTGTGTGTGTGTGCGGCGGGCACATGTGTGTGACCCCCTCTCTCCATACTTTCTTGTTTGATTCAAAGCCGTGCAAGAACCAAAAATAGATCACCCTGGTTTGGGATGTTCTCTTCGATCTTCATCCCCTGGGGCAGAGCCAACCGAGTTTTGGCCGTAGTGGCCATTGCCCATGGACCTGGTGGACCAAGAAGTGACAGCCATGCCCCTGACTGAGTTCTACAAATCCGAGTGACTCACTCATGTGTTCCACACCTTGCATTCGAGCAGGGGAAAGAAAACAGCAATTGGTGTTGGTCTATCTTTACTCTTCCGGCTGGGAGGGGGCGCTTCCATATTTATTTCAAGACAAATCCATCATTCTGATTCATTCTGTATGGTGACATGTTCGCATATGTTCGTGCCTTCAAAAAACCACCCACTCAACCACGCCTCCATCACAGCACTTGCCAAGTCGTTGCAAGCCCGGAAGCTCCCGGCCCGCCAAAGCACCTCTCAGCGATGCCTGGAAAGCGAAGCACCCAAAATCGGACGACAAACATCCAGCAGTTCGAAGCAGTTCGAACGAAACGAGACATAGAAACGCCTCTTTGAAAACAAGATCCGAGTGGTTCTTTTGAAAAGGGGGAAGGTGTAATCAGGTGGATTGGGGAGATGTTGGGATGTGAGGGATGTTGCACACATCTTCAGGATGATCTCTTTTGAGCTGTGAGTGGGATCCTGCGGAGACAGACCTGAATCGTGGATACCTACTAAGACCTACTCAGATCTGGATCCACAAGGAATCTAGAACAAACCTCCCTGACGCAAAGCTTGCAAAAACCGTCGCTGAAAAGAAGGATGACGCCGTGGCGGCTGCCCTTGCATCTGTATAAGGCCAGCTAGTCATCTCAATCATCTAACCCCCACTTCAGAAGAATTCGGCATAGTGGCTCCTGGCATCGCTACGAACGGAGCGATCGGACGCTACTGGAGACGTTCTGAACATCCGCACCTCACCACTGGCTTCATAGGCCTGTATGCATTGCTCCCGATCCGAGAAGTGGTGAAGTACCCAGTTCCTGACTGAGTGGGCGTGCGCGAGGCAACGGCAACAGGACGGAACGCGCGGTGCAACGGCCAATTCCGTGGTCAACCAGGCATTTTGCTCAAAAGAATCGACAAGCCTTGGTGAAGGGGGTTAGGAATATGCTACCCAAACGGAAAAATGCTTGCAACTTGGCTGAATGGAACGTGGAACAGACATAACGCGGTAAAATAGCAGTAGAGTCACCTGAGAATATCTCACAATCCCACACTTTTTTTGGGGGTGGTGCTGAATTCTGCTGAATTCGCACGTGGTCGTCGAGACGAGTTCTTTCAAGGCCGGTTGTGCTTGGGACCTTCAAGACAAATGTAACATGCCACAAGCGGTGTTGGGAAAAGGTGTCCATTTTGTTGTCCTAAGAAGCTCTGCTGGCTGATTCTTAGACATTTGGGGATCAGCCGCATCGACTTTGCACAGACAAAGGACCCAAACTTTTGGAGCACAACATGTTCAACTTTACGGGCGGTATTTAATTGTGAGATTCACAATGCGAAGAAATGTTAGTACCCAAGTTCTTTCTCCCCATCCAATCTAACGAATTTCCACCGTATGCTCATTCTTCTGCTCATGTATGCTCAGCTTCTGCCACTGAAAGAGAGTTCTGCCACAGGCCAGTGCCACATATCCACGGTTCTTCACACGTTCAAATGCTTCGTCCTCTTGGATGGCGTGTCCTCGGCTGCCAAGGCATCCAGCTGGCCCGTTCGGCCGACCTCTTTGGGTGGAGAGTGCGGCTCTCCAAGCACCGGAGCAGCTTCAGTTCTTCATACTTTGTCTTGTACAGGACACCCAGAGCCACATGGACGACGAAAAAGTAGAACAAAAAAAAAAGCGTCACCTTGCGTACCTGGTTGGACCTTGGCATTGGTACCTGTTTCTCTTTGATTCACCCTCCTTCGTTGAGGATTAGTTCGACCATCCTTCTAGGGCGATCCGATCTCAAAAAAGAAGGTCGATGCCAGTCTTTGAGGCTTGCCTGGTCAGGTTCAGGCGTTTCACAGCTTCGGCTTGGTTGAAACTTTCAGTGAGCCATTGTACGATGGAAGGGGTCCAGCAGTTTATAGAGAATAGTGGCCTATCCCAGCACAGGATGAGCTATTCAACAGACTCTTCGCCAATCTACATGGCGTTGGAATCCTCAAGCCACCACTTGCGGGCACTTGACTGGCATGAACGACTTGGCTGCGCTGACTTGAATTCTTGATGTCACTCCTAGGACCTGCCAATGCCCGCACAGCTCTCACAATCCACAAACCTGCTGTTCGACCAGGAGCGATAAATCTCTCGCCAGAGGGGAGTGGTTTGCCAAATTTGTCTCATGGTGGATCGCGGCGTTTCCGCAGCCCACTTGGCATAGACCATGTAAAAGGTGAGCATTGTCCTGCAGGGGCGTCGGCACGGTCGTCCCTGCAAGCTGCGTTTGGTTCAGCAGTTCTACAGTTGTCCATCCGTCTCATCTCTCAACCCCAAGGGTCGACACGAAGCCACATCTGACGCTCTTGGGCATCTCATGAAGCCGGTCTTCACCCCCCATTAAAAGGCGTCCGCACACAACATGCACACAAATATGTACAGCCCCTCACGTGCTTCGGCTACTCTCCCCCCCTCTCCGGCTACTCTGCTGTGGATCCGCCAAGGCCAGCAGCGCGCTGGTCGCGCCCCCGGAGGCTCCCATGATGTCCTTGAGCTTGAAAAGGCCTCCAGCCATGACCAGAAAACCACCCGTCATCACGCTTCTCCATTCTCCATAGAATGCTTTAAAGGGACCAAAGCAAACAGGTTGAGACTGGCATAGTAGTCCTGAATAGCCAATGAATGTCGGTGCTTTGAGGGTACCGGGCGACCAATCACCAATCTGTCTTCATCAAAGGTCTTCAGAGGTTATGGTTTGACAAAGACAGACACGTTGACGAAGACAAACACGTTGACTTCAGGTTATATATGGTTATCTGTCTGTTAAAACGGACCTTTATGGTTTCCCAGACATGTTTGCAACAGGTGGCCCTTCCCAGGAGTGCTTGAGGCGGCAGACGATCATCAAGAAGCATCAGCACCAAGATGGTAGAGGGATTGCTCTTAGCGTAGAGCAGTGATTGATCAACTCAAGTTTTTTGGAAGACTAGCCCTGCATGGACCTCCAAAACTAGCTGACTAAAGCCATGTCTACTAGTCTACTAGGGAAAACAACCCAGAGGTTCAGGGTTTCCTTGTTTCTTGGTTCATTGCACGGAACGACCAACTGCCTGTCACAAACTCGTTTGTGAGGAACGACACAGCACCGTCCGGGGTCACACAGTCCGGCCTTTCTTCTCAAGCACTGCCAGAACCTCGAAGCTCCCAGCACAGGCCACTGAATTGTAGCCAGCGCCTCAACAAAATGAAGGACCGGGCCACCGGGCAGTTCCCCCCAACGAAATGGAGTGGGACCGCCCTCACTGGCCACACTTCCGTGCCGCACCTGGCCACAAGAGGTCCACCTCCACCGCCCCTTTCTCATCCAGCGGCCACGCTTGTACCTGGCGGCCGCACCAGCCCACTCGCCTCCCAAAATGGAACCCCTTGTCCGTTGGTGGTTGTTGAAGGTCCTTTTCTTGGTCGGCATGTTACAGCTACAGGTTGACCCGCGAAACAGTTTCAGCTCACCAAACGCACATAAGATTATCCTTTGAAGTTTGTTAACCCTTCAGAATCCTGAAAAGAGCACATCTCCCAACCCCCGCCCTTGCTCCAGCCTTGATACGGTTTCGCAGGGTGTCTCGAATATCTGCCTCATTCTTTGCTACGGCATAGATCGCGTAGGACAGCAGATCCTCGATGAGCTTCTGGCATGCCTCATCCTCCTGGGTTTCGGCCAGAATGTTCAGCCATGTGATGTGCGGAGATGTGACGTCGTGATGAATCAAGATCACCATCACCACGTCACTGGTGTTTTTGGAACCCTTCCCACAGGCAGGCGGGGCGAGGGCCTATCCTTTTTGGAGTTGCTTGGAACCCAACTTGGCCAAAGTGATGCTTCATTGAATTGCACAATCAAATCTTAATGGCGAAATCCCTCCACTCACTAAGATGTCTTTTCAGATTCGTAATCCGGCAAAAAGTCCTGGCAGAAAATCGCAGATCCATTATTCGGAACTTTGCACTTAGAGCGCTCACTTTGTCTGTTTAATTAGGAGGGAGTCTGCCGATAGCTATATATATATACATATACTCCCTTGTCGTCAATTCCCCCAACAAAGCAATCATCATTTGCAAAGCGTAACTACCCAGGCCCACCACCCCGTCCCGCCCCATCGCCTGGACTTCTTTGAGGAGGCGATCGAGGACTTCCGCCCAGTCACCCATAGCGGATGCAAAGAGAAATGTCACCAGAAGTCATGAAAGACCGATTCAAAGAGCAAGACAAAATCGCAATCTTGTGGCTTGATGAAACAAAAATGTTTGGACAAGTAGGAGAGCGTGGATTTCCTGGAACGAGTTTAGAGCGACGGCCCCCTGCTTTTGGTCTTCAGTGAGAAAGACATAGACCAGATCTCCATCGTTGATTAACATCGGATTTAACAAGACCTGCAGCTTTGACGGGAACACCCTCTTATTCTGGCATGTCGGAAACTGATCGAAGCCACGCCGACTATAGCTGCTTGCCAAATACATCGAAACGCTGCTTGCTGGATGTCGACGCTCTAGATTTCGTGTTGGATGTCTTGCTTTCTCCGTTTCGCTCCTGATGATTCCAGACCGTGTCAAAGCAGCTTTGGATTTGGTCCGCACCCGTTCCGCACCACGCGGCTCCCAGCTCCAGGCTCGAGCCGTCCGCACCACCAAGTTTCACAGCTCAATGGGGTCAGCTAACACTGCTGAAGAAAGGCATGGTGAGTGAGGGTATGGATCAAAGCCACCGCAGCCATTCAGCCCAGAATCACAAAAATGCTATGAAAGAAGATTCGAGAGACTTCGTTGAGGCATGGTTCATGTGCGGCTGCTACCCCCAGCCATGGCAACACGATCCATCACTTCGGAGGTTGGAAATCTTGCATGGGGGTCCCAACAATGGGGCGTTTGTTCCTCGCCAAAATGTGCCAAACGAAGAGAAAACGTCCGACGCTCCTCCAGAAGCTACGCTAAGGTCGCAATTTTCCCATCTTAGTGCTCGGAGAACTGCCGAACGATGTCATCCAAGGACTTTGCTGGCTGGATGGTTTGCCAAGAGCTCGGCAAGGCACCTGCATCAAGCTTCAACCGTTTCAACCCACCTAAAGCATGCTATTTTGACCAGTAGCATCCTTTATCTATCATCAATCAAGTTAATCCTTCCAGGTATACTTTAAGAGTAATAACGACATAAACAATGTGTATTAATAATATGTATATATTCACATATCATGTCCATTTACTTTTTTGAAACATGTTGAAACCACCTTTCCAGAAAGCAACTCACCATACTTCTTGCACTGGTCACGGTTGACCATCCACTAGCAAGCAGTTTCGTGGATCACCCGGGATCACCATGGACCTCTGACCATCAGGTGATAGACTGATAGACAGAGAAGATGCTGAAGACATTTGAAGACCACTTTTTAAGTGATAAAGACCCAAAAGACGTTTCATCTCGATCTTGGTATTTCTCATCTTTCTCCCACTTTGATGCGTGCTTAGTGCATGGCGCTCTTGTGTGAACCACTCTCGCTCCAACTCTCGCATGTTGGAATCTAGCAGGTCTTTTTTGGCCCGACGAAAAAGTGGAAATGTCCTCGAAAACGTGCCGGCCGTGCTCATTCACTTGAAAAAAATATATATATAACATCAAAACACCACGCCCAGGCCGCCCAGGAAGGCCAAAAAAACTGCCTAGGCGCTCAAAGGCGCTCACAGGCGCTGATGTCCTCCGAGGCCTCGCTTCACATGCGCACGTGCGCGGCCAAACCGGGGAGGAGACACCGAAGCCACTAGGTGGAGGCCATCGCTACTAGGGTGGAGGCCATTACTAGTAACCAGAGGCTATACTAGTAGCTATTTGCTACTAGTAGTGCACTTGTTACTGGTAGTTTCTTGTTACTAGTAATGGCCTCCAACCTATTAGCGATGGCCTCCACCTAATAGCGTCCCAAAGACACCGGTGGGGGGAAAGGCGCTGTGCTTTTGGCTGCGCTGGCTTGGCGGTGTGTTTTCCGCGCTTGCGCGCGCTCGCCAGCGCTCTTTTTCCCGAGTCCATAAGTGTGTGTGTCCACCTCTGTAACTAAGAGTTTCTGCTTTTTCTCAACTTTCAAGTCGCAGGGGGCAGGAGTGCCATTGCAAGTCTCCTGCCAACGAAGACGCTTGCAATTGGCAGTGAAACCAGACCTGATCAGTCTGGCGTACCTGCGACTATTTTGAACTTTTGCCCGCGCTGTTCCAATCTCTCTTGTTTGCTTCCATGGTGGTTCCACGATACTTCCCCTAAACCTTTTTTCTTCCGCCGTTTTCAGCCGCTCGTGAGCTGCCGTTGCGATTCTGCAG